GAGCTAGTCGCGGGGGGACGACCCAGCCGTAAACACGCAATTGTCCAAAAGAGGTTCAATTAACCAATCCTACGCTGACATTCGACTCATTGGGACCAATTAGAGACTTGATTGCCTCGCAGTTCAAACGGCGCTCGGACGCCGCGGGCGCGTGTCCGCGTGGGTGGCGGCGGCAGCGAGAAGCTGCAATTTCGTCTTACTACTTTTCACTCATTTCATTTCAAAAGTGATTGTACTGCAAGGACTACTGTTAGTACTACCAATAGTATTTCTAATACTGGTATGCTTGCAGGCACTCTTGACCCGTGGGCCAGCGTGCAGCGCGGAATCCGGCCGCCGGTGTGGCAGTGGCAGAAGAGCCAGAGGGCCGGATGGGCCACTTGCGGAATGAGCAGCGCGCAGGCACCCGCCACCCACCCCATAGTGTCCCTCCCCCAACTTGTTCGCCAATTTTTTTTCGTCCTTTCCCCGTTCCACAACCCCCCTTCCTTCGTCCCCCTTTTCCAGTCTCTTTTTTTTCCACCCCAGTAGGGGCGTCCCCCCCTCCATCGAGATGCGTTGCTGGCCATGATGGATCGGTGCAGGAGTTGCCGGCAGCCTTCCCTGAGCTTGCTCTCTTGCGCTCGTGAACGGCTGTTTGGGGATCTAAATGTTCGACTGCGGCAGCTTTCTAGCATGGGAACGCACACCTGCATTATTTTGGACTTTTCAAAATTTATGAAAGGCACATGGATGCAATGATCGAAAAGCAAAGAGTTAAGCCAATGTGGAATGCAAATTTATTTATAAAAACTCCAGCGATCATAAAAAAACGTACACGTTTATTAAGAAAACGAAGATATATTAAATAACAGTTTTTCTACCAAAATACATCTTGGGTTATTAAGTAAACGTATCATTACAAATAATCTTTTTTCATAGTGAAAAAGTAATTTTAACAAAAGTTAAAAAAAACTCTGCAATTCAGTACGAATTAAGCAACATATTACTGAAAAAAGATTGAAATCCTTCATCGCTTTATTTTGTTCCCTCCTAATATTTTAGGTAAAAGAAAACAAAACGACTACTGCACGAGGTACCATGATGAACAAGACAAAGTATCAATTATTTGATTAATTAAAACGGCATTGCTTCAATGTGAGCTAAGAGATGGGCATGCAACATGTTAGTACATGAAAATTTCTTGTTGCACACAGTGCACGTAAAAGGTGTTTGTCCAGCTTAGGGTTGAATACTTTTATTTAGATCGCACTCGGCAGAGGTTGCAGAGATGTGGGCATAAAGATGTCGGTACAAACGAGCTTCATAAGAAAACAGTTTGTTGCACACCGTGCACTTAAAAGGTTTTTCCAATTTTTCGGAAAACGATTGTGTTCCTGGCACACTACTTCGAGAAAATTTCACTTTGAATGAAGCACGGTGAGATGGTTTTCCTTCTGTACGTTTTCTGCCCAACTGGGCAAGCTGACCTTCTTGAGGAAATTCCTTGTAGCAGAACGTAAAAGGTTCACTGCTAGTGTGCATACGGCGGACATGAATCCTTAGCGAACTACTCTGAGAAAATTTGCTGTCGCAGAAAGTACACGCAAAGGGTTTTTCTCCTGTATGGGTTCGTAGATGTAGGACAAGCGTATTATTGAGAGAAAACGTCTTGTTACACACAGTACATTCGAAAGGCTTTTCGCCGGTGTGCATTCGAAGATGCGTGCGCAGTGCACCACTGTCATAAAATTTCTTGCTGCACACATTGCATTCGAATCGTTTTTCTCCTGTGTGGATTCGAATGTGTGCACCTAGACTAGAATGAGTCGAAAATTTATATTCACACAGAGGACATTTAAGAGGCTTTTCTCTTGTGTGGGATCGAAGATGTATCTTTAGCTCAGTATTTCTCAAAAATTTCTTGTTGCACATCGTACATTCAAAAGGTTTTATTCCAATGTGGATTGGGAGATGAAGAATCAGCTCAGAACTTGAATGAAATTTCTTATTACACACAGTGCACTTATAAGGCCTCTCTCCCGTGTGCGTCCGAAGATGATGACGCAGGTGGGGATCTTGTGAGAATTTCTTGTTGCACAAAGTACATTCAAAGGGTTTCTCTCCTGAGTGACTTCGAAAATGTATACGTAGGACCGCTCTGTCCGAAAATTTCCTACCACACAAAGTACACTCAAAGGGCTTTTCCCCTGTATGTGATCGTTGATGACTACTCAAATATGCCTTTTGAGAAAATGTCTTGTTGCAATACGAACACTGAAAAGGTTTTTCTCCAGTGTGGGTTCGCATGTGTATGCGAAGTGCTGTATGTCCCGATAATTTCTTGTTACACAAACTGCACTGATACGGTTTCTCTCCTGTGTGCGTTCGTAGGTGTGTGTGTAGTGCTCCACTTGTCGAAACTGTTTTGTTGCACAGACTACACTCAAATGGTTTTTCTCCAGTGTGGATTTTGAGATGTGCAATTAGATCACCATCTACACGAAATTTCTTGTTGCAGACTGTACATTCAAAAGGTCTCTCGTCTGAGTGCCTTTGGAGATGTGTGTGAAGTGCTCCCTTTCCCGAAAATTTCTTACTGCACAAATTACATTCAAATATTTTTGCTCTTGGGTGGATTTGGAAATGAGGCACCATGTTGGAACAGTTTCTGAAAACGAAAAACATAAGAAAATTAACAACAGAAATGTGTAGCCATACATTTAATAAAATATAAATGTGTCTCTTTAATACTAACTTTCCCAGATTACAGGAAAACAATTTTCAGCAGCCTAAACACGGAAAGAAATGACTTCGTTGAGAGGATCAATTATGTGTGGTAGGCTAAATTCGATAGCTGGAAATGAAAATCCGATACTCACAAGCAGGAGTTAGTTGCCACGACCGGACACTAGTACAATTAGAACAAACTTCAGCTTGGTTCTATTTGTGTAAGCGTCCGCGGTCGTGACAACCAACTCCTGCTTGTGAGTATCGTATTCTCGATTCCAGCCATCGAATTTAGCCTACCAAACAGAACTGACCTCCATAACAAAGTCTTCTTTCCCGTGAGTAATCAATGGAAAGTATAAATCGTTTGCCTGATTTAATGAATAATGCGCACAGGTTCCCAGAAACTAACAGTAATTTTACTGACAATTACTGAGAGCAAATTTTAGGGGAGGAAACAGGGGTGGGGAAATGGGCGGCATAAAGATGAGAGAAGGGAGGGGGGGAGGTAGAGCTGTCGCAGTAAGCAGACGAGAGGAGGCGGTGGTAGTCAGCGCAAGTCAACGTCAAGGACACGTCGCTAAGTAGTCATATGAGACACATAACCCAATTACGCAAGGGAATATATACCAAAAGAAGAGAAGAGGTTCAGGCTGCATGCCGGGGCAGGGGGGCTGAGCCGAGAGGGAGGGGGGGGGCTGCCTTGCCGCTAAAACACGCCGCCCGCCACGATGGGAATGCAGGCGGCAGCAGCGGCAGGGGCATACCACGACGAATATGATCAATCATAAATCCTTGTCCTGTCAGGTTCGGTAGGCACTGTGTGAATTGGCAGAGCAGGGTTTTTGATTCTCAGAGAAGGGCGCGGCCAAATACGGCAGGGAAAGGGGGGAGCACAGGTCTGACGAGGCGTAATAATGAAGCCGCCAAATGGCGCACCACAACCTTGTTCCCGCCAAGTTTTACAACTATCCCCCTCTCCCTTCCCTAATAATAGTAAAATTCGGACGATTCCCCCCAGATCAATTTTGTTATTCTGAATGACTAAAAACGACCTTATCATAGATTCGGAAAACAAAATTGATGGGCTACAAGATTCGAGCGTCTCGATTTAAGCGCGAGACTCCAAAAGCATTATTCTACCTAATTACCGTGAGTTCCGTCGCGTGGCCGCCACAGCTCGGGCGTTATTGGCCGGATCTCTCGCCCTCTCCAGTTCAAACGCGAATTATCACCTGGACAGGGGCCCGACGCGCGCGCGCACACACACAAGGCAAGGCATTCCCGACACGGCCGGGGACAGCGGCGGCAGGGCAGACCTGAGGAAAAGCGGAATGTGATAATTTAAGTGATAACATTTTCGCTCCCTTTGACGAAGGCGGCGCGCCGCTCTACCCGACCACTCGCCAGACAGTCCGTCGGCTTCGTCTCCCAGCCTCCCTCCACGCCGCGGTCTCAAAATGCGCTACACAGTTCCGCGCACGTCTCGGGAGGTGGAAGACAAACGCATGTGGGAGTGATCCGGCGCCGCACGCAGCCCCCAGTCACTACCACCACCCAAGGCCCCCGGCGGCTCTGAGTAGGCAGCACGCAGCACGCGCGCGCATGGCGGTACAGCATCACAACGCGTGAGGTAAGTACAACACCAAGTGTGCGTGAGCGGTGCGTATGCGTAATGCGTACTAACATTTCATAATCGAAATATTAGTAAACCAGATTGTGCGCACTGGCTGGCTGGAGGCTACGCCAAGACTATCTGCTCGCCCGAGACGAGACGTCTAGCCACGTCTACAAATTCAGCCACATCGGCGCGGAAAATGTTAACTGGCCGATCATCGGCCGCCAAAAGCAGGTCCACGGTCTACGGGATGCGAGCGGCAGTTGCCTGTGTAGCGTGGCCAGGACCTCCTCAGCGATGCACCTTTCAGAGTCCTACTACGTTTCAACCGTTCGCGGAACGGCAGGAAAAAGTCGGTACGGCACACGGCCTGGTCCCACCCTGGTGGCACGCGCAGCCGAGGCAGTGGCGTGGTGGCCCGGTACGCCGGTACGCCACCTCGTCCGTGTTAATTGGCTAATTTAGATCACGTGTTAGAGGCGCGCCTTCCTGTCGTGTGCGGGAACTTCTTTTTCTTTTACCCCCTTCGGTTTTAGAGAGACAAGCATTACAGCAAACCAAAAGATAACAAATAATTTTAAAATTAAAAGCTCAACAAAGGTTTCTCGGAAAATCAGCACGCACGGCTCGTACTTATTTGGAAAATATTAAAACACTCAAAACGTCCTGCGGGGCAGCTTTACAAAAAGGAAGGCGAATAATCGGGACGACTACAACAAGCGACATCAGCAGGCAGGCGACTGCTGACAGCAGAATCACTCATTAACAAAACGGAGACACAAAGGCATGCTGGGCGGCGGCGGGGCGGCGCGCTCTCCTTCCTGATCACGTCCGGCATAATGAAGTACACATTCGGATCAGCCGTCCGCGAGCCATCCTGGCAGGAGGCGCCATCGCAGGCTCGCTCAGGGCTACCAGAACACGATGGCCCGGGTACGGACCAACACTGTGAAAATAGTTTAAGGCTTAATGGGAAAATTTTCCCTGAAGACTGTCGTAAAATTACGATTGAAAATTGTAAAATTTTAAGCATAACGTGCAGAGACTTGTATTTTATCGACCATAATCAAGGGAAGGTTGTAGTTAAATTTTAACATATTTTGTAGTTCACACAAAATACATGTAGCTATACTTTTCTACTTTTCATAGAGCGACGTCTGCTGTCTGATAGTGTCACCGACGACGTCGACTTCCGCATCGGCCAGGTGGACACGGCCCTTCGCCAGGTAGAGGTGCTCGTCGTCGAGGGTGTGCATGGCGAAACGCGAGGATCCTCGAGGACTCGGCCGCCGCCGCCAGGCACTGCTGCATGGCCTCTGCGGCCTCGCGGCGCACCACGGCGCCAGGGGGCGGGCGGGGCTGGTCATAAGCCGAAATGTGTGTTTTTGTGGCTCAACGGCTCACCTCATTCAGTATTCATAACCGTACGTGTACGGTACAACGGTAGGCTCGCGCCACCCAGACCAGCAGCGCGTCGCTTGCTCTCCATATAGCTCCCCTCCCCCCACCTGCCGCACGGTCCAACCCCTCCCGATCAGATCAACATCGTGTGTGATTCAATTGATCCGACCGTGTACATAGCCCAGCAGAAGAGGGGGAGTGTGACACAATGTTTGCGGGTTGGGCGATATTCACCGCCCCGATTACCTGCCAATAATGAACAACACTGTTAAAAATATATCGAAATTTTACAGCTGAACATTTTACAG